TCATTGTTGTTTGGCGGGTCCGGGCTGGGGATTCGAACCCGCCACCTTAGGTGTACGTGGCTGGCGCCTTAGCCGATTGAGCTATAGGCGCCGAGCCTAGTTACTCTTTTTTTGGACCAACATAATTTAAGTGTGCCGTGGAGGTTTAACTACAGGTTCAAGTGTGCCATGAGATAAAAAAGGATGAAAAATACTGCACTATAGGGAGATTTAGAAAACTTCTTGAGAGATGCATCCAGCGACTGGGTGCCACACAGGAATAGAGCTGGCAACACCCTCCTCCTGTGTCCCTGTTTGTCCCAGGCAGTCTCACTTCTGGAGGGTGACTCTGTAAATCACTGAAAGGCATATTCCAACACTGGTCTCACATGGGCCACAGGCAGGCCTGGGATGTCTTTCCTCACTTCTGTGAGTCATCCAGAGACTTGCAGAAGCCGTGTCCACAGGAGGGGAAGTTAGTTCCTTTCAAATCTAAAACTTGGCCTTGGCTGTGTGCTATGGCTCATACCTGTAATCCCATTATTTTGGGAGGCCAAGATGGCAGAACTGCTTGAGGTCAGAAGTTCAAGAACAGGCTGGGCAACGTGGCTTACACCGTATTCCTAGCACTCTGGAAGGCCAAGACAGGTGGATTGCCTGAGCTCGCAGGTTCAAGACCAGCCTGAGCCAAAATGAGACCTCATCTCTAAAAATAGCCAGGCATTTTTGTGGATACCTGTAGTTCTAGCACTTGGGAGGCTGAGGCAGGAGAATCACTTGAACCCAAGAGTTTGAGGTTGCAGTGAGCTATGACGCCACAGCACTCTACCGAGAGTGACAAAATGTGACTCTGTCGCAAAAAAATAATTTAACCAGGTATGGTGAGTTCAGCTACTGTGATCTCAGCTACTCAGGAGGCCCAAGTCAGAGGATCCCTTGAACCCAGGAGTTTGAGCTTCCACCTCTTACACCTGCCTGGACAATCAAGTGAAACCCTGTGGCTAAAAAATAATAACAATAAAACAATGAAAAATAAATAAAAATAAAAAATAATAACAATAAACCTTAGGTTTAATCCCAATGTTTCCATCCTCTGCAAGAGACTGTCCCCCGAGAGTACACCAAAATCCCAGGGTAGGCAGCACCCATAGCTCAGTGGGTAGGGTGCCAACCACATACACCAAAGGCTGGTGGGTTGGAATCCAGCCTGGGCCAACCCACTGCAACCAAATGATAACTGCAACCAAAAAATAGCAGGGCGTATGGCAGGCACCTGCAGTCCCAGCTGTTTGGGAAGCTGAGACAAGAGCATCACTTAAGCCCAAGAGTTGAAAGTTGCTATGAGCTATGACACCATGGCACACTACCCAGGGTGACAGCTTGAGACTCTGTCTCAAAAAAAAAAAAAAAAAGCCCAGGGTGCACCAGCCTCTCTACTCTAGCCCACTTGTTCAAGGCCTTGCTTTGGGACCTGCTTCTGGTTCCACTTCCTCCACCAGGACCTCCCAGATTCCTTGCTTTCGGGGCCGAGATCTCCAACAGCCAGGAAAGATCCATGGTGTGTCTTATTCTCTGGGCCTATGTACAGAACTTCTCTCTCTCTCCCTCTTTTTTTTTTTTTTTTTTTGGTGCCCACCACAATACCCAGCTATTTCTTTTCTTTCTTTTTTTTTTTTTTAAGAGATGGCATCTCATTCTTGCTCAGGCTGGTCTTGAACCTAT